TCCTCGACAGCTTCACAAGAATGTCTCAAAGGCATCTAAACTCAGTATGTCCCACACTGAGTTCATCTTCTCTTCCAATCCCAAAATCTCTCCTTCTTCCATTATCTCAATAAATTCATTCCAATTCCAATTAGTTGCTCAAATCATATGCCTCGAAGTCACGGTCTCCTCCTTCATCTTCCACCCTCAGAACCAATCAATTACCATTTCTTGTCTACTGTACAGTCAGTTCTGCTATTATACTTGTTTTGAAAGAGCAAATTTGTTCCAACGCAACTGATACATTAGGGAACAATTCAGCATGCCGCAAATTTTGCACTTGTCTGTGTGATTTTGTCCATAAGCAATACTAGATAAACACAGGAAACTATACTCAGCTGAACAGAGCTGTGTAAGAATATACAAAATGCACACATACACACACCTCAAACATACCAGCTACCTAGATCACCACGTGTTATAAGCCACACCCATCTTGTCACAACTTTCCATCTGATTTCAGAACTCTCCTTCCACCACTTCAAAACAATTGACAAGCTGCAACCCTTCTCATGCCCATTTCCACAAGCAAGCTTCAGGTTTTTTTCAAGGTAAAGTGCCATTTTTATTGTAGTACTTATATATTTCTTAACAATTTAACATGTGTAAAATTATGCTACCATTTTTATTAGATTCCTATCTTTTTTAATGTGTCTCTGATGAAGCTTTTGAGTATTGTGCTCCTAATCCCATTTTTACTGCACAACCTTCCATAGCACGGTGATTTTTAGGAAGGTATATGTTGCATTATAGCAGAACTGACTGTACCATTTAACACTCTAGAATTAGTCCCTTTCTCTACATTTCCACTGCTATCAGTTTAATCTCAGTAACTATCATCTTTTACCTAGACTACAGCAATGGTCTAATTCTGTGGTTCTCAACCGCAGACAGCACCTCCCCACTCTCACTCCCGTCCAGGCCACTGGAAATGTATGTGTATGTGGGGGTTGGGAGCATTTTTGGTTGTCACAATGACTTGGAGAGAGGCATTACTGGCAGTCAATGAACAGTGGCCACGGATGCTACAAATTTAGCAATGTTGCCCACACAATGATTTGTCCCACCCCACATGCCAACTGCAGCCCCATTAAGAAAAACCAGTACTGGTCCCCTGTATCTACTCTTAGCTCTCTCTCCACTGCAGCCAGAGAGAGCTTTTTCAAACTGCAAACCAGATGATGCCTCCTCTATGTTTAGTACCCTTCAATAGCTTCCCCTTACCCAAAGGATAAAGATCAAAATCTAAAGTGTGGCCTACAAGCTCCTCCTCCCCTCCAGTTTCATCTCATGCCACCCTCCTCTCTTCCCTACATCCACTATGCTTCAGTCATTCATTCATTCAACAAAGAATGATTAAACATCTACTGTGTGCTAGGAACTAGTCAAAGTGATGGGGCTAGAACAGTGAACAAAAGAGACAGAAATCCTCTGTTCTCATGGAACTTACATTCTAGTTCCGTGAAGATGCCAGGCTTCTCCTCAGCTCAGGGCCTTGCCACCTGCTCTTTCCTCTGCTTAGCCAATTCCTACTCATGCTTCAGATCTCAGCTTAGATATCCTTCCTCAAGGAACCATTCTCTGACCCAACCCCACTAAGTCAGCTCCCCTTATGAAACGATCCCCTGACTCTGAACTTTTCAGTGTTAAAACACAATTATAATTATTTGTTTAATATCCATCTTTTCTGTTTTATCTCCAGGGCCTAGCACTACCTGGAACACAGAAGGCACTCAAGCATATTTGTGTATTGATGAAGATGTGTATGTTTATATATATGCATGTGTCTTTACATTATATGAATATGTACGTATAAACACATTCATGTCTGTGTATGTTTCCATATATTTCTGCAAGTGACTATGTGAATATGTGTATACACATGTATGCACGTATGGATACATACATACAATTTTAGATATGCTCACTTGGGTGTATTCATTCACGCGAGTACATGTATACATTTATGCTTGTGTGTATGTGTTCTTCTGGCCCCTCAGTGACAGCTCTGACCTCCTGGAGGGAGCTGGGAGCAGGGCCCCGACTCCTCTCTAAGCTGACAGTTCAATCAGAGTCTAAGATCATTCAATGACGCTCCAAATGTCAGCAAACACTGGTTTGCTCCCCACTGCTACAGGGTAAGGAGGTAGAGGCGGGAGATGCAGAAACCTGGCCATTGAAAAGTTACTTTTCTCTGATGCAACCCACACCATTTCTGGACAGGAGAGGGCAGCTGAAAGACAACATTATGTCTCATCTCAGACTAGAGGCCTTAGGAAACGGGGATGGTAAATTCAGTCCCAGTAGCTCACTCACTAGGGAGGTCTAGGTGGCCAGGCAGACCAGGACCCTCCCCACTTTTGTCATGGGGCAAAGCTCTGCTAGGGGAGTTGAGGAGGAGAGGAGAAGGAAGGGAAGGGGGGAGGACAAGGTAAGATCAAGGACAGGAGCAGACCCTGTCGACAGCCACAGCCTGGGTCACACATCAGGAAAGAAGGCATGGAATAAGGCTTTTGCACAATACTCCCACAACCTTGGTAATGACCTCCCTGGCCTTGCTCTTATCATTACTTTTTTAAGGGAGCAGGAATTTTTTGTGCAGCCTGTACTAAGTCGTGCAGTATAAAAGTCAGAAAGATCACAATGCCTCTGGACCTCCAGGGCTCTGCAGCCTCCCTGTCTTGAAGGGCTGCTAGCAAGGACTAGGCTAAGTCTGGAATTAAGTCATCTCTCCTGCGGGGTCCTCAAGCACAGCTGGAACATGATGTGGCTGGAGGGCAGAGGAGAAGTAGTCAGATCCCTTGTTTTTCCTAGACCTGCTCAGTTTACCTCCCAAGAGGCAATCACAAGGCCAAGTGGGAACAGAGTCCTCAGTTTCTCCTTATACCCATCCCCCCTCTACAGCTCAGCATAGTCCTGCAAAGAACCAAGCTGAACAGGCTGAGGACAGCCCACCTCCACCCCCAGCAGCACCAAGGTAGCCCTGAGTGGTAATGCTACCACATGGGTCGGCTGCTTTCCTGCCTTTCTGCCAAGGAACCTAGAGGCAGGGAGCTATCCATACACCAAAAAGTCTAGTGAACTTCACAGAGCAATTGTTCATGGTCAGCGCCCGCCTCGCCTGGCCGGGCCTTCACATTGCATTTGCCAAGGCCAGCAAGCAGCCTCGGATGCACTCTGACAGCTGCCACGCCGTCTTCCAGGAGCGCAGGCCTAGCCACATCCGCACGCGTAGCCCTGCCAAGCCCCGTGTGAGAGGGTCTCTATGGAGCCAGCTCTCAAAGGTCAGTCAGCCAGCAATTATTTACTGAGCACATACTTGGTACCTAGCCCTGATCTGGCCACTGGGGACACAGAGAAGAACCAGAACCAGTCTCCGTGCTCCAGATGGACATGTCTGCAAGGAAACATATGTGACTCAGTTTTAACGCTCTAAGATCACTGATATCCAAAGTGTCAAGGAGCCTCAAGGCAAGAGATTGACTGCTGAGCTTCTCAGCAGAGGTGACACCTGAGCTGAATCTTCAAGAAGAGGGAATACGCCTGATGAAGATGACTGGGGGACACTTAAGACAGAGGTAAGACCATAGGCCAAGGCCTGAAGGTAGGACGGAGCCTGGCCTCCTCAGCCAAAGACGCTTGGTAGTAAGCAGCTGATGCTCAGGTGCACAGGCGATCAGCGGGAGAAGTGGGTAGGGGTCAAAGCACAAACAAGCCAGAGTGCAAAGGACCTGCACACTAGGGGAGAGTAAAGGAGTTCACAAAGGTTGCCACAGAGAATGGCTGCCCTGAGACCTACCAAGTCCAAGGTCATTCTCTTTCACTGCTCCTCCACATGCTCGCTTAGCTCCAGCCCACACACACACCAAAAGCAGGCTGCTCCCCCTGCCTAGAAAGCCTTCTCTCCTCCTCATAGCCACATCCTGCCTCCCTTGAATGCCCAGTTCAAGACCCAAATCCTCACAACACCTAGCCTGATCCTCCAACAGCCTCTCTCTCATCGCTGAGCCCCCTGGGAGCCACGACCCTGACCCATGGTGTGTTCTCCCTTCTCTGAGCTTCCTGGGAGTCACTAAGCTGACTGGTGGCACGGGGTTCCTGAGGCTGCCCCAGGACTGTTGCCCTTACATCAGAAGGATTTATGGGCGTGAGTCTCCCTAGTGGACTGGGCCTCCCAGAGCAAGGATCCTACCAGAGCAGGGATCTGAGGAGTCTATTCCTACACCTCCTTTCTTCTGCTTACCTAGGAAGCACAGCACACACGAGGAAAGTAGGAGTTTTCTGGGTGATTCACTCTCTGCCAGGGTCCACTTCCCTAGCTACATGGAGTCCCTCCTGGTTCACAGCTCAGCGCCCACTCCCCAGGTGCTTGGTGCTGCCAGTCTCCTCCCTCATGAGCAAAGGGAACTGGCTCTGGTTTTCATGGCCCTTCCTCACATAAGCAAGGCTCTGCTGGAGCTGGGCAGGACCGAAGCCAGCCTGAAACAAATCTAACTCCCACCCAGAGGGAGACACCAGGGCTAGTCAGGAGGGTCAGAGGCCACACTCATCATCACATCAAAGGAGGACAATTTCCCAGAGGCTCAGCTAGTACCACATCTCTCCTAGAGGCAATGCAAGTCAGTCCAGAGATGCAGCTCTGAGCAAGAATCCTGAAAAATTTCCTTAACTGGGACTTCTCTGCACATCTGGGTGACACCAAGTAGGGCAGTGTCATACTCCACCCAGCAGCCTGGTCCCCAAGCAGCTCCCCACTCCCAGTAATAACCACAACCTTCTAGTGCACATTAGCTAAGGAAGAGGAAGGAGGGGTATTGAAGAAAGAGAAGAACAAAAAGAAAAGGAAAGAGATGAGAACAATAAGAAGAGAAGAACAGAGATGAAAAACGAAAGCAAAGAAGGTGAAACATGAGGCACAGGAGAACCAGAGGGAGCATCCGGGTGCGGCCCAGACACAGTACCTTTTTCAGATTAATCCACTGCTTGAAGTAATCCGCCACTGGCAAGCCCAAGTACTGGCACTGGCCTGGGAGCCTACAAGAGAAGAGAGAACAAGTTGGGCACACCTATGTCCCAGGGATGCAGTCTTAAGCTAGGAAAGCCAATAGAGTCTATAGAGCAAACAGACCTCAAAAGGCCAAACCTTCATTACCCATAGGTCCCACCCTACCCAAGAAAGGCACCCCACCTCCAGCACCCAGGACACTGGGCTCCAGATCCAGCCCTCAGATCCAAATGTGAGAACCTGGAGACTATTCAAAATAACATCAGCAGCTACTATTTTCTGATGTCCTACATATGCTAAGTATTTTACTTACATTTTCACACTATCCTTCAGAGTGATGCTGTGAGGTAGGTACTGCTGCCAACATTTTACAGATGAGAAAATCAGATTCAGAGGGGTTACCTAGGGTCCCACAGCTAAAAAATGATAGTGCCACGGACGGAACTCAGGTTGGTCTCACTCCAAAGCCTATGTTCTTTCCAATGCACCAGGTTGTTGGTGTTTTATTACAGCAGAGAGGCAGAGATATAAGACAGGAGGAGAGAGAGAAAGAGCACATGATTTAGAAATAGCTGGGCAGGGGCTTCAACTCATATTTAAATATCTAGCAATAGGCTTTCTGCAGATAGAGAAGAAACCATGCAGAAGGATAAGAGGTCAGAATTTAAACGAAGAGTCTCTCCCTGACTTTTCTTTAAATTAGAATTTATAAACTGTCTTCCCTTCTAGCTGATGATGCCATTTCACGCACACAAATCCATTCAACCAAACACTCACTGATGTTTAATAAGAGTCAGGCACTTAGGACTCAAAAAATAAGACTTAACTACTGCCCATAAGGGACTCACAGTGTGTTCAATGGAATGGACAAGAAAAGAAATAGACAAAAAGCCTTAAGTTAGAGCACTGGGGTAGATGGAAGGATGGAGGAAGATACGAGAAATATCAGCTGGGGACGATCATAGAGTTTTCTTGCTAAGAGGAGCTTGGCCACAGGCAATGGAGAACCTCTGAAGCGTTGTGATTTACAAAGATTGTTCTGGGGGCAACAAAAACAACACACTAAAAAAGCTAGGTAGTAGCCAGGAGACTAGACAGTAGCCATAGAGATAGCAAGCAAGCAACAGATATAAGAGATGTAAAGGAGGACTACTGTGATGTGGGGCCCACTGAGAGAAAGCGCTAGAACCCAATTCAAAGGTATGTGGCTTGACTAGCTTCATGCTACTCACTGAGAAAAGATAAAAAGGAGGCAGCGGCATAGAAAGCATATTTGACACCGAGAACAGATTAGCGTTTAGTCCATTTTATTTTTGTTTTTAAATTCTCCCCATACAGTGTGTCCCCATTCTGCCCAAAACAGGGTAGACTGCTCCCACTGCCTCACCCCTAGGTCACGACTGGAAGGAGGCATGAGTTTGGGATGAAGTTTTAGATTACGCCTGACACATGGTAAGCACTCAACATCTGTTGAGTCTCTGGAAGTGCCTAGGAGACACTGGGCAGTGGGGTGATGCCTAAGAGGCAGCTGGATATCCAGTTTTAAAGAGAGATCTGGACTGGAGATATAAATTGCTGAATCATTAATGTAATTTAAGTAAAATTAAAGCCATGAGAGTAGATAAGATCACCTGGGACAAGTATGGAATGAGACGAGCAGAGGGTTCAGGCTAATGTCTCAAAAGTTTTATTGAGCTAAAATGAAACCAGGCCACCCCTACCAGACCATCACCACACACAAGGAACTCACTACTTCATGCAGCAGCCACCTCTAATTTTGAACTCCTTTAATTCTTAGAACATCCTTCCTTAATACTAAACTGAAATCTGTCTCCTTGTAACTTCCACCCATGAGTCTGAGGTATGTCTTTGCAAACTACAAAGAACGAGATTTCCACCTCTTCCTTGCAGAACCCTCTCAAATCTGAGAGCCCAGGAAGTTTCCCCCAGAGTTCCCTTCTCCAGGTCACATACCCTGAGCTCCTTCAAGAATTCTGCAGGAGATAATGTACAATGAGCGAGAACTCACCCAACCCACCCCCACTCCCAAAAGGCAGGGCTCCTAGATCATTTTCAGGGTATCAGATACCCAAGGTCACACATGCTCTTTGACTCCACTTCATATCACCTGTGGTCAACCTAAACTGTGGTACCAAGCTTCCTCTTTCTAGAATATATATAACTGACTTTTAAGCTTAAAATGCAGGTCATTAGTATCAAATGCAATAGGGTGGTCAAACCCAAAGAATTTGGCATCAGGGGGTTGGTGGGGGCAGAAGGCAGCATACAATGTGTTGAAGAGTGAATAAGAGAAAAGAAAAGTGGAGACCACAGTGAAAACTCCTTTCTTAGGAAGTTTAGCAGTGAGAATCCAGTTGAGATGACTGGTTCCACCCCAGAAAGTTTCAGGGCAGTCTAGCCTTCCCTCCATCACTTTTCAATTATTTGACAGACACTAATAGGAAGCTGATCCCCATGTTTCAGGCAGTTTAGTAAGATTTACTTTTCTACTACCTGAGATATCTTACCTGAGTGGAAGATTCCACTCAAACACCCTGGTGGCACAACGACATTAACTACAACCAGTCAATTTCCTGGAAGGGAAATTCTGGCTGAGGCCAAGATGATGAAGGGGTATCCAGACAGGATGTCCCAATGTGGGCACAAAGGATAGAGAATATAAGGACATTAGGCAAGTTTTGAAGGATGAAAGGTAGCCTTAGGAGCTGGAATGTGGCTGCCTAAGAAGCAGAACTGTAATGTTTGGATAATTTTCTTATTTCCTTCACTTTTTCTTTCATGTTCCTTATCCTTGGTATTTGTGAAAATGCTTGCTTAGGTCAGTTATTTTTGAAAAATCACATTAAGGCCTGTGAGTGAAGAGGGCCACCAGAAGCAGCAGAATCTGCAAAGAAACAGGTCAGCGGGACTGGCCAGCAAAAGGCAGAGGTCCTGGGTCACCTATCATATTCTCCCTTAGCCAACCCCACCATCCTCTGATTCTTTTAGTTGACTCAGGCCAGGAGTCCTATTGGCTGTGGCTACCCTGGGGTGGAAGGGGCTCCCTTTTCAACAGGATTTCAAAGGAAGACGTCAGCTGTGGACATTTCCACTCAGGTAGGAAGGTAGTAGGGTTCTGCCTGCTCCTCTGGGAGGAGGACCTATACCAGGGGGGCTGCATGGAGGACAGATGAGACAGACTGTCAGGCTGGATACGAAGCCTCAGATACAGCTCAGGAGCCATCCTGAGTGCTGTCTGTCCCCACAGCTGACTGAAGCAGAGGGGGCAGGACTATAACCCTCACTCAGGGCTCTAGCCACTTGCAGGCACACATGCAGTTTGCAGACTCACAGGCATTCGGGCTGCTCAGTCTCTAGCCTGTGGGTGGTCCTAGCCTTGTGACTCCAAGATACAAGCAGTACAGATGTAGCAGGGCCCAGGCCCATCTTCACAACAGACACAGAACCAAATGCCAGAACCCGAACTCCCAGGTGCCTTATGGGAAGACAGTTACTCATTTCTATGACAAAACCCTACCCCAGCTTAGAGAGCACCAAGAGAAACCCCATGAGGAAGGTAGGTTAGAGCAGCTGTCATCTCCTACATAAAAGAGAAAACTGACGCCCAGAGAAGAAAAATGATTTGCTCGATCATACAACAAGCCAAGGGCAGAACTAGAAATGGATCTAAGTCTTCTGACTGCACAAGGCATCAGTCATGTAGATGTACTCAGAGCTCTTTACAGTCCCCGGGAAGGCAAAGTCTGGGGCCTTAGAGAGGCAGAAAACATGGCGGCCACTGCTCAAGGTCACACCTGGGTCCAAGGTTCTTAGGAGCCTAAGGTCAATGATTACCAGTAGGTACATGGTTCTACCAATTTGGAAAGGAAAAGGGTAAAAGTCCCCCTGGCACAAGGGGTCTGAATGCTGTGAGTTCCTACCAGACACTGATCCCAAGAAAAGAGCCACTGGCAGTGGGCCCTGGACTAGCCTGCAGGCATGAACGTGCAGGCAGGTTTATGGTGCCCAGGTCTCCATGCAGCTGGAATCACTGGGCACAAAGCTCCTCAACTGCCCAAACATCATCTGGCCATGCTTATTACTGTTGCCCAATGAAATTTTATGCACCAAGTCCACAGGTGTGATTTCCCCTTCTTTATGAGGGTCGGAATGACATCACTGATGGCCAATAGAAAAGAGCCAATTATGTCCAGGCCATAAAAAGGAATGGGATTTTTTTCAACCAAATCAAAACTTCCTTCAGCTTCATGAATGCAAGGGGGCCCCTTTAAGGAAGGGCCCCCCAGTCCTGCCTGTGGGCTCTAAACTGAGAGATATGGTCACTTTCCAAATACTGTTGGGCCTAGGGCCAGTGAGGAGCTCCGCCTTTGGCATTTACCATGTGGCCCTGCTCTTATCACACTGGACCTCCATGGTCATCAAAACAGATCATCAAACCCTACCCTCAGACACCTGACTGGTTCCTCGCTACTCCATCCAGAGGGAAGTTAGAAAAGATGGGGGTACTCCTCAAGTTCCCTTATTACTCCTTTTAAATAACAAAAAAGAAAGCAGAGAGCCCTCCTCTGCTTACAAAGAAGAGAACAGTATGGGAGGAACAGGGGTGAAAGAAACTGCCCCCCTAACAAGTGAACAGCACAAAGCAAAGGGAGCCCGGCCCTCCCCACCCACCCCTCATCCAGCCCTACCACCTGCAGCCCAGAGCTCAGGCTGGGCCCAGACAGCCCTGATGGTAAACAGGTGTGACTAGCTCAGCGCCAGCCAAGGCAGAGGACTAGCTCATTAAGGGAACACCACCCTCACTAATGGGTATGGGCAGCATGAAGCTATTGTGAGCAGGAGCTCAGCTTTGAAGACTAGGTGAAGCAAAGCTGGGGGGTTCTGCTAGGACTGCTAGGCTTGAGTCAGAGGCCAGCAGCATCCATGGAGGTCTGACAGACAGACTGGCAGACATCAACAGCCAGGACCAGCAGGAGAGCAGGCACCAGTGCTGGAAAGGGTCACAGAT